CTGTCTTCAATGCCATTCCATGTCTGACCAACAGGAGGTTCACTTCCATACAACTAGTAGGGTGCATTAAAATTTTACTTTCCCCAACTTTCAGCAGTTTCAGGATTAGTGGCCCTGTTCCTCGCTTGCTCGCTCTCTCCCTCCTTCCCTCCCTCCCTCCCTCCTTCCAGTATCCCTGCCACGAACTTGTAAAACTCATTGTCAAACATGAGCAAGTCAGTCAGCACGAGGCTGGAAGCTAAACTCAGTGTCTTCTTGATCAAATGTCTGTCAGCCTCTCCCCAGATCACTTTGACGCATGGCCATCAGTTAAGGGACAGTGAGATAACTTCAGTCAAACGCAGATGCTGTAGTGTAGAAAAATTACTCCCGGGTATCATCTTAGGGAACAGGCAAGCTAAAGAGCAGCACGGTGGCACAGACTTTGTTACATGCATTTACCAACTTTTTTTTGCAACAAAAAAGACCAGAATAGACACCATGTCACCCGGCATTGACTCAGCTTAGGGACAGGGGAAAGAAACAGAGGCTGTTTTAATATTTCCTCGTGTCAGTTTGTGTGGGAAGAGTCAGTTAATCCGTGACTGTTCGTGGCAGACTGCTGTGCGCAATTGGCTGCTGTGTTTTGCCCACAAAATATCCAGTCAACTCACTTTACAGTATATTCCGTTAAGCGCTTTGAGACGTCTCAATGACATGATAAGGCGCTATATCAAATGCAAGGATTACTAGAAGAGAATGTGCCGTGTGCATAAATGGGGGTGCCTTTTGGTCATAGCTGTAAAACAGAGAAATGCAACTTATGGAATATCATTGCTAAATCGTGGTGTCAGCAGCCCCCCTTTTTTTTTGTCTGACTTGTTCTTCCTTTTTTCCTCAGCAGAAATACAGAGATTTGATTATCTCCACTGCAGCAGCCAGGACAGCAACACCAGCTGTTCTCATTGTGCAGCCTCATCCACACAGCCTACATGTTAATAACCTGATCATTCCATTTTCTCCTTCAAACTGCCGGCTGCAGCGCGTCGACGAGACAAAACCTCGTTCCATCTGCAGCAGCTGTAGGCACTGAACTGTGAAGCCACTGGGGATTTATAAACTAATCTGTAACACAACACTGCCTTGTTTTTACATGTAGAGGCCAGATTCACACAAACCTGCACCTCGCTCTTATCAAAGTAGGAAAGGAACAGGCAAAGAAACAATAACTGCAAACAATCTAAATCAAGAACAGCCACAGTACTTTGTTCTCTCCACCACCCCCCCAAACTCACCACCACCACCGCCACCCCCAGCGTGTGATTTAGCATAAGTAACTGAGTGCATTAATCATTCATATCTTAAATTTTACTTCATGTTCTCCAGTGGTCTGCAATCTAAGTGGGTAGTTTCAAGAACAGATCAACAGTAAGTGCAAATGTGATTTGCTAACTTTAGAAGTTTCTTCAAGGAGCTGCTGATGCCAGACACATGCCCACGAGGCAAAGGGCATGCTGAGTGCTGCCTGAAGCTTCACATACATTGCGGGGCTCAGCTGCCCTTACCAACAAAGTGAAGAAGGACTCCTGGGTGGGTGGGTGGGTGGGTGAAGGCAGGGAAAGGGAACGGGTAAAGAAGCAAATTAAATAGCAGTCTTGAGCTGACACTTTGAAAATAAAAAAATTGGGACATTTAATTTACCGTTCGCTGCTAAATTTGCGATGAACTGAGTGTAAATCTGTACTCATTACAATCCTTTAATAGAATGTCGCTGGTCTCATTATGCGCTGTGTGTCTACTGTCAGCGGCCTTTAAATAAGAAAGTATTCAATTTGTCCCCAACAAGCTAGGTCCTGACCTTGGATCTATTAGGAGACAGATTATGTACGAGTGTGGCCATGTGTGCAGGCGTGTGTAAACAAAATTAATTTCTGGCTTTTTTTTAAAAAAAAGGCACGGGCCAGGATTCAGATTGAATGACATCATGAGAGTTGGGAAATTCCCTGGTGGGAAGCCTAATGGTATCTTTTTGGGCAGCCTAATATTCAAGGTGAAGTGGATTCATGGTAATTAGAGGATTATTAATCCTGTTTTCCCCTGAAGTATTTGCATGACTGATCAGATTAAAGGATCTACATTTCAACAACATAGCCTTCCCTGCAGACCGCCTGATATCTGTGACAGGAGCACAGATGCGGGCATATTGTGCTCTGTGTATCCAGCTGCTGTTACAATCACCTGTATTAATTTACTGATCCGCTTTATTTCTCATTTTGAAAATATCTCTCGTTTTTTTCAAAAAAATGCTTCAAAAAGCGGAGGCATTGCTGACCAAGTCACGTCGTGAGGGCGACGTTTGCATATGAGCTGCAACGTTACGTCTGTCTCTCTCACGAACGGGAGAAGCCAATAGCGCTTGAGTGCCAGCACACAAGCACTGTCTGGAGGTGCAAGTCTCCAGTGCATGCTTCCGCTATTGGGTGTTCGTGCTCAGCACTATTCTATGAGATGCTTCAAGGTGTTGCATGTGCAACAGAATAATGGCATTTCACACCTAACCCTGAGTGTCGTCTGAGTGCGATATTTTGCTAAGAGGTGCAAAATGATCACTTACACCCACGGAATAAATAATAATGCTTGCATTTGACAAAGAGCCAAATTACATCGTCGAGATGTCGCAAAGCGCTTCACAGGATTTACTGTGTAGTGACTGTGTATGTAGGCGAACATGGCAGCCAATTTGAGCACAGCAACAACCTGCAGGCAGCAATGAAGTGAGTGACCAATTTTGTGAATGACCAAACGTACAGTTACTGAAATGCAGAGAATACCAGACACCAGCCATATATATCCGTTTAAAATACTAGTTTTCATATATATAATATATATGTATGTATATACATTATATATACACAATACATATGAACACTCATGCATAATATATACACATAATATATATCACTCTTTATTGTAACCATTATAGCAAAATAAACCATTAAGTTTGGTGACCTTTTCCTGTATACTGTTTTGCCTCAGGATCTTTTGCCCCCTGTGCTCCATGGTGCAGCCCTCCCATCTGTAAGCATTGCACCTCTCTCACAGTGAAGACCTTGAGCTTGTTTTAGAGAACCCTATCTGATGGTGGTTTATCGCTGAATACGATGTGGTACCTGAGGTGGTAAAAAAGATCCAAATCTTTTTACAAACAACTGCCTGTGTCCTGGTTTTACCAAATAATTAAGACTCCGGCCTCTGTGCTCTGTGTGTGGGTTTGGTCAACGAAACGGATGAAAGGACGGACAGACAGCGATAATAATGTCAGGCAGTGGGTGAAAGGTTTCCCTCATTGACATATCATTTGATAAACAAATGTCCCTCAATTACCCAGTGTAATGAAGGCATGCTTCTTTCATAACTATCAGCTAGATCAGACAATGGGGCTAGTTCGCTTTCTGGCTCGTGAAATGCCATACTTTAGACAGTAATTTAATTTTGTCCTAATTGAGCAGTTTCTGAAAGATCGGGGCCTCTAGCTGCCTTCTACCTCCTGAGGCCCGTTTGGTGCTCTTCATCTGTGCAGTATAGCTCTGAGCCGAGCTCCTACTCCCTTATGGTTTGCAATCTGCAGTGCAGCCAACGCACAAAGCCTCGATCCCTGAATCCAATAACTTTCTATTAAAATATAAAAACCTTTTAACAGTTTATGGAAAACTAATAAAACAAACGTCACGTGCTTTGGAGAATTAGCAGCACAGTGTCGAGTCAACCTACATGATGCATTTGCTAGAACGCTGGGCTTCTGTAGTACCCCATCAGGCACCTTCATTTTGCGTTCCATTTAACTGTATCCCTTCTTAATGTCAGTCCTGCTGGCACTACAAGGCTATGTGTTGCACAGGTTTGTCAGTTTTGAACTAACTCCACCATATTCTGGGCTCGTAGAGAACACCGAGTGAGGGAGACAGAATCTCACAAATTATATTTTAGCCAGAAAAGAATTGTATTGTTTTTCAATATAAACCCAATTCCAAACTTTCTTTCACTGATACTCCTTTGGATTTAACTTGGAGATTTTGACCCATTAATTACACTGTCAGTGGAGGAGAGTTTTAGGAGAACAGTAGAAACTGAGATTAACTACAGATGATTAACCTTATTGAAGAGTTCATCCCTCACCGTGAACCACAAACCTGAAGCTCAAAGTGTTTGGAATGGCTATCTGAACATGGCATTGGGTTATAGGAATGCGATAGTACCAGGGTGCCTGACATAGATTTTGAATAAAATATCTTGTTACTTCTACTGGGTGAGCTTTGGGTCTGTCATGTACTATCAGCAGTGTCCATACAGTCACTGGCGCATAACTTCCTATATTTGCAAACCACATTTGTTGCGGTAATTTTGCTGGCCTGGTCTTTGCCGAATTGGGAATCCTTATTTGTCGGCTATGAATTTTGCAGTCGCATATTGGCAAAGCAGAAGTTGCAGTTAAGTCAACGAATCTGGTTTGTGAAGGTAGGCCCTGCTGATGTCTGGCACTCTCTTTGCTCCAAGGATGTTTGAGAATTAGTGTATGCCACATCGGGGGGGGCAAAACTGGGAGCAAATGAAGAAACAGAGAGGTAGGAGCATGAAATACTGGCATAGATTAAACTCCATTCCCACTGAAACAACCTGACCCAGATTGGATCCTGAATAGACAATCCGTTAGCCTGGAGCTGTGGTAATTACACAATGCGCAGTATATAATGCAGTGAAAGGTGACTGTCAGTGATGTGGTTTAACAAGTTATACAGGAAGCCCTTGGGCTTTGAACTGGGCTGTTACATTGATGGAAAAGTGTGGAACAAAAGGGGATGTTGGCGAGTGACTACTTTGCATGGTAACCTTCAATAGCCTTTCAGGTCTAACTAACAAATCCTTAAAGTGAAGAACATTGACATTGGTAATGAATTTAGTGTAAGAAGTGGCAGTTGGTGTGGAAGGGACATGTCAAAGGTTAAAAGCGTTTGATCTCTCACCTGACTTTTGTTTGCGGCCACTTTAGCAAACAGCGCTTGGGACACTTTGGCCCGCTTCATCTCTTGCTGGATCTCGTCATAAACGGCCGACGTGATGTTGAGGTTGGTGCTCTCCACCTTAACAGGAAGGTCTGACGTTGACGCCAAGGTCTTGGCCTACCAAGAGACCAACGAAATATTAGAAAAAAAACTGCTCTCAGCCAGCCATCTGTGCAAAAAATCAGCAGCGGATTTCAGTCAGCTGATGCCAAACTGCATTAGCTATGGAGGACACTTCCTGTCCATTATTCTAATCAGGTTAATTGTGATTGGAAATAATTGCTGTTCAGGAACAGAGCATTCCTATAGGACATGAAAACACAGTAAAGCACTTTTCATGCTGTTTACCAAACCACAAAGGTAGACTGCGCAAATCATGCCCAGTAATAATAAACATTTCATGGGGGGTGGGAGGAGGAGGTTCAAGACTTATAGACTTATACATGAAGATTTTTTTTATTCCTCTAAAAACAGTCTGCCTCTGTGGAGGAACCAAATCTCCTAGAAAAAATGAGTAAATGGGTAGAGACCCCTAAATAATAAATTATTACTCAATTTAATGTGCTCCCAAAAGTCTGGCTCATCCTTTATTAATGCATTACATATGTCAATCCACTATGTACCATGTACCGTCATTATCATTATTATGCCAGTCGTGGCTGCTGATAATTTCACATAGGAAATCACAGCAAATGAAAAAAAATTTGAATTTCATAGAAACACTGAAAGAAATGCAGCTGATTTGATGGTTTAATTTCCTCGATGCCTATTTACATTTCTGTGTCCTATTGTGTTCGCTTTCTTTTCCAAAGGTGCGCAAGTCGGCTTTTAGCTTCCTGCATAAATGGAGAAAGGGAGCGAGAGAGAGAGAGACAGAGAGAGGTTGGTGGAGGACAAGCTTAAGTACCTGGGAGGCTCGAGGTGACGCTGTGCTGGCTGCTGAAGGAGAGACCATGGAGATGGTTTGGTTCATGCTGCGTTCTCTCTCCTCCTGGTAGATGCGGTCACGTTCAGCCTCTGGAAGGTTCAGGAAGTTCTGCATGGCTCTTAGATTTACAAGAAGGGACTGGGAAGCTGTTCGAGGATCTTCCTCTTTGCGGAGGATCTCTGATAGCAAGCCCTGGTTTTAGAAGGCAGCCGTAATCAGTAAAAAAAAGTAAGTCGAATGCCCTGCCTTGCCCTATTGTGCCCGACAACCCTCCAAGATTTCACAAGCACCTGATGTACTTCAGTGGTTCCAGCCACGCAGTCTTTGCCATTGTTTCGGAGACCTGTGGGAGCTTAGGAGGCAGATTACTTTCTGGCCTCAAGTAATAATAATAATAATAATCCTTGCATTTGGTATAGCTCCTTATCACATCGTTGAGATGTCTCACAGAATAAATTGTAACGTGGATTGACATGTATTTTGTGTGCAAAAAGTTTTGGAAGGAGACTAAGAGTGCAGTCATAGAGTGCTCATGCTTTAAAAGGCCTTCTGTCTGTTTCGGCATGGATGTCAGTGCAACAGTAGCAAAATAAACTCATCAATCAGCTTCAAACCTTTCATCGTTAAAACCAGTCTAAGAGAAAGCACCATACTACAACTCTGGGTGCACCAAACTACAACAAATTTTGAATTATAATTCAGGCTGGGGATCTGACATTCAGGAGCCATCAGTGAATAACAACTAATTAACAATAATACTAATAATAATCCTTGCATTTGATATAGCGCCTTATCACATCGTTGAGACATCCCAAAACACTTCACAGAATATACTGTAAATATATGTATATACTGAATGATAGGGTATTTTGTGGGCAAAATGCATCAGCTATTTGCACCCAACCATGGAGTGAGTGACCCATTTTATTTGGGTTGATTGTTGACCAGGGCACCAGGAGAACTCCTCTTCTCATGAATAGTGCCATGGGTTCTTTAACGTCCACTGGGACCTCGATTTAATGTCTCATCCGAATGATGGCACCTCTGACAATGCAGCAAACCCCCAGCAGTGCATTGGAGTGTCAGTTTACACCATGTGAGTTCATGTCTCGACGTTAGATTTGAACTCACAACATTCTGACTTGGAGGTGAGTGTGCTACCACTGAGTCAAGCTGACACACATTAGCTCATAAATAATTTTAATTTTAATACTTTTCAAGATATTATGAGCTTTATAGTCAGCGTACTTCAAACCTCCAGCTGATGATCACGACCAGCCCAAAACCAAAGGCTTTGGCTGAAGCCTTTAGGCATAATCCAAAAGCCCTGTTGTTTAATGTCCTAACTTCACACATGCCTCCTCCTCGGAAACACATGTTACGAGGGTTTCTTTTTGAGGATTTGAGGAGTTTAGTGGATGAATAGGGTTAAGAATATATCCTGTATGCAGAAAACCTTGCCTGAAAACAGCCATGATTTGTATGCAAAGGAAATGTGTAGCATAAAGGGTTAAAATTTCAGAACAAGCCAGGTTTAAATAACTCATTTGAAAATGAATTGCCTCGTGAATATATATATGTATATGTAGTCAGAAGTGACTCCGATTGGCTTTGTGTACAATAGAACGTTAAATTAAGATAATTTTAAATATATTAATTTGTTTAAAAACGTATTCATCCCTCTATTCACCTGGAATACATTAGGATTTCAATATGCAAAACAACTCAAATGACTTTTTATCATGATTCCATTTAATTGTAATTTAATGAGGCGTAATTTAGTTTAAAAAAGCCAGGTGCACAGTTCAGAGCTGTCTACAAACAGGCATGATTGCATCAGTAAATACACGGCTTCCAAAACATCCTCTGAATTCTCTGCCAAGTGACGAGCATTTCTGTCCTGTACATAAACCTCTGAACGGGTTTAAGAGTCGGTCAGTTGGCACTATGGGGCTCATGTAACCTGTTGCAATTTCAATCTGACTTATGTAGGTTAGTGGCACCCAGTATACAGAGCGTGAATCACCATCAACAACAAAGCTGGTGCCATTAACTTGCTGTGACACTGCTGTCTGGCAAGCTTTCCCGCTGCTTGTCCAGCTAGGGCCACCTTACCTTTTGCTTCTGGTTTAACAGGAGCTTTGGCTTTAGGGTTAACAGGAGCTGAATGGGATGTTTGGGCTGCCCTTCCAAGTCCTGCCCATGAGCCAGGCTGGCTGGGCTATCATCAGCAGTGCCCTGACATACTGGCTCACGAACTGGACTACTGGGACTGCCATAGAAAACTAGCTCAATTCCAACATTCTATTGCCAGGCATGTCACCTCAGAACCAGTTCAGCTCCCGCTTAACAGATCCAGCCGCTATGTCCTTTGGCGAATGGGCTGCTGGATTGTATCCGCTTATGAACCTCCCTCGAAGTGCCAGGCTGTCAAACTTCCCCCAGTCAGTCAGCCTGGCTCACTGCCTCTGAGTCAGAAGGTTGGGGGTTCAAATCCCACGTCGGGACTTGAACTCACATAGTCTAAGTTGACACTCCAATAAGGCATTGGGGATGTGCTTCATTGTTGGAGCCATCATTTGGATGAGACGTTAAACTGAGGCCCAACTGCCTGTTCAGGTAGACGTTAAAGATGCCATGGCTACTCGAAAAGAGAAAGGAGTTTCTACCAGTGTCCTGGCCAACAATCCCCCAAATAAAATTAGTCACTCCATGGCTGTTTGTGAGACACTGCTGTGTGCAATTGTGCTGCCTTGTTTGCCTACAACCACAGTCACTCCATTTCACAGTAAATCCTATGAAATGCTTTGAGATGTCCTTCCGACATGATAAGGTGCTATATCAAATGCAAGGATTATTATTATTAAGTTGTTTTTGTTTAAACAAGAGTTTGTGAGATAAACGAAAGGTACTGAACAGCCCAAAGGGACAAAGGAATAACCGAGCATCCAATTTTTAATGGAGTCAAGTGATTAGCAACGAGATGCAATTAGAAAGTAAATTAGAAGGTAACTCTTGAATAGCTGACTGCTTAAATTACAATGAAAAGGTCTCATTGTATAATTAACTGCAGATCGAAGTAGATAAAGGAACGAGAACGTGGATTTGGTTAGTTGTATTGTGCATCTCCACAAACTATAGGCACAAGGTTAAGGCTTAAAACCATAAAAATTTATAGTTGCAGAATTTTAAGTTAAGCATCTCTTTCGATTTTATTTAAATACAGGGATGTATTTTATTTCAGTGTGTTTTGTTGTCACACCTAAAGACCTTTCTCTTTGACCATGCCTACGGTCACCTTCACCACCCACCTTTCCAGGCTCAGCGTCAAGCTCCACCATGCTCTAAAACACTACTCCGCGTGAAAGGCATTATATAAATGCAAGTTGTTGTTGCTGGTGATGTGAAGTGACTCAAATTTAGCCCAAACTCTGCTGCTCGCACCCTCATCTGCATTAACTCTACGAATCCATCGCCTGAGTGCCCATCAGACCCCACTGTCTCCCTGTCTACCACCAGATCGATTTCATGGTCTTCACCTTTGCCTATAAATCCCTGAACTCACTAGCACCTCCCTCTCTCACTGATCCTTTTCTACCCCACTCCTCTGCTCACCCCATTCCTCTGCTCGCTCCCCCTCCACCTCTTGCCCCCTCTCCTCCCCTTTGTCCAAGCTCGCAGTTTGCTCCCTGCCCCTGTTCAGGTTCTGACTGTGTCATTGCAAAGTGATCCAAGACCTTATCCTACATGTTTCTCACTATATAAATATAAGTTGTTGTTGTCCTGATGTACATGGAGATGTACAGATTAAGCAGCTGAATTGTTTAAGGCAGAATTGCAGTCACGTTTCGAACAGACAATTTGTAATTTCATCGATTCAGATTGAATCATTCCACAATCTGATACAGATATGAGACCCATAAGTAAATAGAATTACTCTTAGATATTTTTAAATTCTATTAAACAAAAGACAACAAGGAGAAATAATGGCATTAATTGAAATTTGAGACAATGAGGCTGGTTTCCGCAAGACATGCATTGAAGCAAGACCATTTGTGACTGACAAACAGGTTTCAAATTGCGGGGTCAACAGCATTATGTTTTCGGGGCTAGGGAATGTGCTGAATACTGCTATTATCAGCCATTCTATTCCTCTATTATTATTATTATGATTATGATTATTATTCATAAGACCCATAATTAGTAACAATCCAGCAAGTCCTTTAGAACAGCTAAAACCTACTCTAAGTGGCACTGCAGTGGGAAGGGAAAGAGCTCTTCAATACATTTCATAAAGTAAAAATCCTTACAATTTGATTTTATGCCTTTCTCTCCGGCAGGATGACTCGAAGAAGCTTCATAGGATTTACTGTGAAGTGTCGGGACTGCATTTCTTTTAGGCAAATGTGGCAGCCAATTTGCGAGCAGCAATGTCCCACAAAGGGCCATCAAATGAGTGACCGACTTTATCTGGTGTTGGGGGTGGGGGGGTGTGAGAGTATCGATCAGGACACCAGCAGAAACTCCCTTCTCTTTGCAAATAGTGCCCATGGGATCTTTAACGTCCACCTGAACAAGCAGACGGGACCCTGGCATACCATCTCATCTGGAGGATGACACATCCAACAATGCAGGGCATTGAGCTCAAAGTTGATTCAATCTTCTTTGACACATCTAGTTCTTCCCATGACAGATGTAGCAAAGAGAGTCCGCTTACTTTACCTGATCATTTCACTCCCCCCCACCAACACCATCCAGTGGTTCAATGCTCTCTTTGCTGTTCTGTGTAAATGTTGTACTTGTTGCCATTTTTACATCCCTATTCCATCGTTTCTCCCCCAAAATCACAACAACGAGCAAGGAGAGGGATAAATACCTGTGTGCGGTTGAAGGCAACTCGTGCAAACACAGCTTGAGATACGCTGGCTCTCTTCAACTCATCCCTGACTTGCTGGTAGATCTCTGGAGAGACCTCCACAGATGAGCTGGAAGGCTCCATAGACTTGCTCGTCCGGGGGATGGGCGGATGATTCAGGAACTGCTGGTTGATGGACTGTGGGTGCTGGTGAGCCAGCAGTCTGCTCACGGCGATTTGCTGGTTTATCAGGTGGGCCATGGCAAGCTGCTGTCTTACTAGCTGAGGGCTCAGCTGTGGGGACAACAGGTTGGGACTCATGATGGGCTGGAGCGTTTGCACGTGGCCTCTAATGGGAGTGCTGTGGTGTATCTGGCTGTGAGGAGACTGCTGGCTCATTTTCCTGAAGTTCGCCAGTTGATTGATGTTGGAGAGGTGAGGTGGACTCTGACCCAGGATGCAGTACTCGGCCATGTTATCCCGTTCAACTGAAAGCGAAGTGAGACAGTTCAATTGTAGTGACTACTTGTATTTTCAGCAGTGAAATTGTACACTCAAATTGTGAACACATAGGAACAGAAGTAGGCCATTTAGCCTCTCGAGCCTGTTCTGCCATTCTATTAAATCAAGGCTGACGTGTGTACCTCCTCTCCAAATAACCGCCTTTGCCCCGTATCCCTTGTTACCCTGACCTGACAAACATGTATCCACATTAGTCTTGAAAATTTGAATGGCTCCAGCATCCACAGCCTTGTTTGTGTGGCAGCACTAGCCTAAACCACTTCAGGAAAAGCTATGCCCCTGCACTGAATGTCATTAGCTGTAACACAATGGTAAGTTATGTGCTGCATTAAAGAGAGTCCGAAAGAGATTTCTTGTTGGTGGATGCATTTCAGAAATGAAACCTTTGTGTGCCTGAGCTCTCCTTTCTTCCACTTTGCCGACACCCTGTTTAGTTAAATTAAGTAAACGCTGCGTATAAACGATCTTAAAAATGCTTAATCTTAACATTTTTAAGATGGTGGGAAATTCTTCATATGGAAGCTGGTTCTTTGTTTTAAAAAAAAAGTGCCTTCCAAATTTAGACTGAATTGAAAGTTCTCCACAATTCTCCCCAATCTTAGATTTTAAGGCAAAAAAGATTGTGGTGAAAAATATTGGGCCTCTGCTGGTCTGATCCATAAATACAGACATTCACTTTAAAATGTTCAATGCCCTCGTCTTCCCGTTAGACCGTTAGATCTTAAATCATTTCAAATTGCCCGCTTTGCCTTCACAACTCACAGGTCCTGTTTCATAGAAAAATGCATGTTTTTAGCCCTGTTGGTGAATGTGCATGCTTTCCCTGTGCGGATGGACGAGGTAGTGTGGTGTGTGAAAATAAATGTGCAGCCATGACTCTTGACACTTTGAGAGTCACGGTTCACTGAAAGTTTGAGCCGCTGATTTGCTCTGTATTTATATTATGTGATGCTACTAAAGTTATTTATTAATATGTCACAGGGAGGAAGGCTGCTGAGCTCAGCTCTCTCCCTCTTATGAGCAACTTCTCACAAAGCAGCCCAGGGTAGAGGTGCCTGGGAGCAGGTTGTTGGGGGAGTGTCATTCTTTATAATGATGGTTATATTGAGAAAGCATAGAGAGAGGGGAAAGCTTTTATCTAATCTTTCTCAACATAATCATTTTGCAATGGGTGAGGTGTGGAATGGTTACAAATCCTTTCAGTATTTCTCTGTGACGTATCAAGTTGAAGGGTGACTGAGTTAGAGAGAGCTAGAGACAGAGAGAGCAAACTATTTCCCACTCTGCCCCTGATCTCAGTGTGGCCTTGTTGGGTTCAGGGAAGCTACAACAGTGGATCAGTTGTAAAGCAAAGCTTAAACCCAGCCTCTGTGTTGCACTAGCGAGGCTTCTCTGTTTCCCATTTTCTTCGATCCATATGTTCTCTCTGAGCGAATTTGCCAGATTCATGCTGCCTTAGGATCAGGACTGCGCTGTGTGGACTAAAGCCCATTGTCATTGAGCTGAAACTGATTCAACTCCCTCATTACAGGAGACAGTAACTCCAAAGGTGAACATTTTGCCTGGATACTGAATCCTGGTGGTCCCGGCATTTTTTTGGGACTTCCCTCGAAGAGATCCATTTTTAAAAATAAAATTGAGCAAGGACTGAATTAGGATGACTTCCTATTGACCTGGCACAGACGCAAGGAGGCAGCTGTACTCTGCAGCAATATTTATGTGGATCAACATCAGCAACAGGAATGATCGCCAGGCTTCCAGAATGAAATCCTGACTGGCGAGGGATATACAAAGAATTTGGTTCACTGTGTTTGTGTGTGGGGGGGGGGGGGGGGGTGGGAGGAGAGTCTGTGTACACTATATCATAAAATGGAGGCTTGCTCTGATGCCAAATAGACTAGATAGTGTTATATGACCTCAGGGTTACTCTGAAACCTGAAACTCTGCTGCACTGGATAATGATGTACAGCAATTAGAATTGTGTTACACCACACAGCAGCACTGTTTAGGAGCAATGTACATCTGTTTGATGCAAGTGTGTTCAATCTTGTCAATGGGAACAGTCTGAGACTGAATGAGGTTACCTAGATGACATCATGCTGCATTCAACCAAAGACTGTTTGTGTGTGGGTGTGTGTGTGTGGGGGGGAGTGGGGGAGAGTGATGAGGGAAGGGCTGTTTCTTAAAAACTTTTTTTTAAATAAAACAACCGAAGCCTAAAAATGTCTAGAGTGCAGAGGAACAGCAATGACAGCAGCCCCTGTGTCTGTGGCATTTGCCAAATTAAGCAGCAGCCGCCATCATTTAATGGGTAAGAACAAAGGTCTCGTCTGTCAATCACCCAGCCGGTCTTTATTTGACAGCACGATACCCATGTCCTTTATTGTTTAAATATTGAACTGAACTGGACTCTCCGGGGGCTGGGAAGAGACTGTGTTAGTGGCTGGTGCGACTCACAGGGGGCTGTGCATAATTGTAAATACTTATCAAGATGATTTTGGTACGAGAGGAAACTGCAAAGCAGGCTTTTACAGTCAGCAGTGCACAACCGATTTTACTTTGACCTTAACTGTCCATCGGACCCCAGAGCAACCGCACAACACATCTCAAAGTACGAGAGCAATCATACTGAGCTCGACACGATGATCAACTCCCATTACCTTTAATCTTTTTGTACTTTTTGTACCACCGTCCGAACTCTTGGCATTTGGCAGAGGACACGTTGGCATAGTAAGTGCTGTTGACGATGGAGGAGATCATGCTCTGGTGCAGAAAGGGGTCGAGGAACAAATTAGTGACAAATCGCTCTGCATAAATCAATTAGCAAAGCTGAGAGCAGAAACCTCCGACACCTGAGCACTGAGCAGGTCAGTCTCCCAGCAGCCACCAGCACCCGATCAATTTCCTTTTGGTGACATTTGGGAAAAGACTGGAGATTTATAGATCACCAAGTATTTATTGTTTTATTTTTGTTTCATTTGGAGTTTCTTTCAGCTTGGCTCACGTCAGTAGTACTCCTGCCTCTGAGTCAGAAGATTGTTCATATTCAATACAATGAATATTATTATGTTATTGCAGTTTAAAATCACTCTGTAGAGGCATATTCTTAACGGTTTTCAGTGCAGGGTCAGCCAACCAATAACACTGTCACTTTACATATGAATAGATATTACTTTTCTTAATATATTTGAGCTTCCTAAAATGGCTACTTTTTGCAGGAAGTTGATATTTTGTTCACCAGGTACATGATCAAGTCATTTTTAAATAGGCTTATTAACATTCCTGGTTGCACCAATGATTACAGGAACTATGTGTGTTTTACATTATCACATACGTCCGTATAATAATAATATCATAATATCATTATATAATATCATTATAATATTATTACTTATTATTACCATTTCTTTATACGCAGGCCATAAATTCATTCACAGTTCTGAATTACTGCAATTTTTACAGTTCCACTCATACTGTATAACTCATCACCTTCTTCAATAAACATTCTTAACAAACATCCCCATCAAGATTCATAGCCTGCCTGCAAGGTCCAGTGAGTTCTCTGCATCAGGTGATGTTTCTTTTTTCTGATAATGTATCAATGGATTGTAAAACTGAACTGTGTTTTCCTCCCTCCCCACTTCCTACAACTACCCCCTTCTCCTGTGCGCTCAACCAGGATACATGGTGGCCGGACATAGATAATCTTCTGAGTGCTGTTCAATCTTCTTTTGAAGATTGACTAAATTCAGATTGACATCTGCCTCGGGCTGACAGCTGACTAACTCTCCCATAAAATGCTTTCTTTTGGTCTCATTGTTTGTGATAATCTCATGTGGAAGTTTGTAAATGGATCTCTAAATATGAAAACACACTGGTAACTGGATATGCATCTAGTCGACCCCAGGAACCTCCACTCTGACATGCCTGGGAAGAGATTGGGTCAGAATGGGATTCCCAACGGTCAGTTGACACACACTTTGTTACCAGGAGGATTCAACAGACTGGACCTTGGTTTAATATCCCATCCAAAGGCGAAGCATCATACTGAGAAACCGAAGGCTAAATAAAAGAAATGCTCTCTTTATAAGCTGCTCCAGAGCGAAACAAAAGCCAGGCACTTATCAGCTGCGTGAAAAAATTGTGTTAAATGCAGTCCACAGGGGTGGATTGCACATTCGGAGTAATCGCCCCAATGCTAATGGCTTGACTTCCTCTCTCCAATTGTTAACTTGTTGGAAAGCCACAAGCAAAATGAAGTAAAATGTTACCAAAGCCCTACAGCAGTATTAGTAAACCCTATATCGCAGCTTGACAAATGAGGTATGTAATGAGGCCTATTTAAGTACCATTTCTGACCTGTGATTAGTTTCACAGTTTACTGAATGGTTCGAGGAATGTTACGGTTTCTGTTCATTCACCCAGTGTGTTTTGACATAGATTACAGCAGTGCCCCCTTCAAAGTATTGTTGTGTTTTAACATAATCCCTTAATGGTGCTCCTCACTTTGGGGGCATTTTCTTTTCTTTGTAACTCCCAGTTTTATATTTGGTGAAGTCAGTGCAGAGAGAGTACTTATCGCACACTGCTTTCAACACAACCAGAGGGAAATGGTGTGGTCTTGCTGGAGCAAACGACTGCAGAGGTCATGTTTCAACAATGTGACAATAAAAAGGATTAACATTACTAGGAATCAATTTGGTTTACAGTAGTGTCATTGGGCTTCAGGGCAGCCCCAAGCCATGGTCACTTTGACGTGAGTCCACAACGTAAGCTATAATAACATGTTAGTTGGATATGGTGGCTGTTGAAAAATGAATATTAAATATCCATAACGTCCGGTTCAGGAAGAGAGAGCACTGCAAAAAGGAACTGGGGTTCAGTTAAATATTAAACTGGCAGCAGTTCATTTATTCTTCAAGCTGAAAAGTAAGCTCAGTGCTAAAGGTATTAAAGAAAATCTGATTTCTTCGTTCCTGAATTCTCAGAATCTTAACCGTCTTTAAAGACTGCTGGGCCCATTTGATTCCAACGATGAGTATTGTGCCAGCTGGTTAGACCAAGACATTATTGTTGTGATATCTTTCCAACAATAAAAGTTCCACTGATGAATTTTGGATACAAATATTAAGTCGAATTTACAAATGGCATTTCCAACTTAATTCAGAATGCATCCACATCCAGCTCTTCTGCTTATCCAGAACTTCCAACATTGTCCCCTGTTTGAACGCTGTATCGAATGCAAGATTATTGTAACATTTCCAGGGTCTAACTAAGGCAAGAAGTAAATAATGAAGAGCAACTTCTGGGTTTGAGTGTATTATTAGCGTTGGGATGAGAATTAATTCTGACCTGAGAGAGAGGGCATTCCTTCGCTAGGGTGCTTTGGTTCATCTCTTTGAGCAATTCCTTCAGTGCATTTCGAACAGTGGCATGGCTCCACTGTTCTGCTGGAAGGTCCTCAAACTTTGCACAACTGTGAAATGCAAACAGAAAGGATTAAAAAAAAGAATCCTTACCCACACCAAGCTATTGCCCTAGGAATGCAAAGCAAACATTTCTTCCACAGTCTGTTACAACTTACAAATCTAGCCTGAAGCACGGAGTCGCCACAAGCTGCCAAATCCCTTCAATATTTTTTTAACCCTCTCATTTTATCATTTTATCTTGGCTATTTTAATTTTGGTCCATTTAAAAACTCTGTTTTCAAGTTCGCAAACAACAACCTGCCCCTCTCCTTCCCTCCTCCCCCCCAGTACCATGGCCAACAATCCCGCAATAAAATTGGTAATTCACTTCATGGCTGTTTGTGGGACATTACTGCGTGCAAATTGGCTGCTGCTTGCGGCCCATAAAACACACACATTACACTTTACAGTATACCCTGTAGAGTGCTTTGAGACGTTTTCCTGAAGTGAGATGAAAGGTACTATACCAAATGTAAGATTATTATTATTATTATTTTTATTAGAAATGTATTGAAGTAATCAGCCCCAAATACTGTATAGGAGGAACACCAGGCACCAGGTTTTGGCAGGCAATAATGACATAAGTTTGAGAATACTCACCTTTGTAATTGAATTTTCAGTGTCACAACATGAAAGACATCTTGTAACATGTCAGCCACTGTTGCATCTGGTGCCTCGGTGAGATAGTTCAGGGGTAGAGGACTCCATTTCCCGACCTTGATCAGCCCTGCGATAAAAGTTAAAACAAGGTTCCAGTCAACTGCAAGACTTCTTCCTTCTGCCTCCTCAGAAAATGGAATGCACTTGGTGCACCCTCTTTTGTTATTAATTTCATTTTCTGTCATACCTGATGTACAAATACATCAAAAAACAGAAAACCAATACATCCAGTATTTTGGGGGGGCATTCATTATTCCCTTAACTGAACGCATTCAACACCAAATTGCTGCATTGCTAACGCTCTATGCCCTTGTGACACTATTGAAGTGAATCTCGTTTACAACGAGTAGATATATTCTCCACCATGCTGTGCATAGCTTGTAGGATCAGTGTCTGTGAGCAAGCCACCAAATCAAGAAAATAGTAAACTGCTTTCGATTCAAGATTTCAATTTCATTGTGTATCAGACTAAGCGAAATACGTTGCAGAAGAATGCTCAAGGTGACATTGGTGTTGACTGCGTTTGCTCTTTCAATCCCTTACAGAGCAAGCCTATAAATGTTAGCTTGATCACCAACTGTGTCTTTTCTCTTTATTGACTGTACAGTGTAAATATGTGGAAATTCCCAGACTTACCTGATTGAAAGCGACCAAGTGTGGGTCTACACCAGGGTGTCCCAACCGTTTGACTGCTGAGGGCAGATTTGAGAAAGGTCCTGAGCAATATTTTATCCCGATTGGCCAGTCCCGTTGTCAGGCAGAGCCTGAGCCCCCGGTTACTGTCTCCTGATTGGCTTGAGGCTGCGGGATCACTTTGCTAAGTGGCCAATGAAGTTGTGAATGGTTTGCGGGCCGGATGCGGCCCACGGGCCACCAGTTGGACCACCCAGAGCTCTACACTATCAGCGTCCAGCAGCTCATTCACTCAACAGCATTTGGTGAATTAAGGTCTTTTTGAGTGAATGCAACTTTCTGAAGATTTGATTCAGTGAATAGTCCTGGTTTCCATCACTTTCATTTACACAAATAAATCCACAGAACACTGTAGTGGTAGGGTTCAACAATAATAATGAAAAAAATCTTGATATATTGATACAGTGCCGAGAGCATCAAAAATGTCCCAAAGTACGCCACAAAGTTTCTGTAAGGTATAGTGGATGTATTTGTAGGCTAATTAGAGATAGAAACTAAACCACACGGTAAGGATAACCCCGTCCCCATTCATGTCTAGTTACTAAGCGACTTCAGGCACCGACACTCACAAATCTTCCTTCCCACTTTATTCCCACTTTAAAGAAACAAGGCCTGTTCTGGATTCAATCTGGATTCACACTGCAGCCTGTCGCCCCCCACTATTGCCTATGCGGTTGCATTTCACTTACCAATGTGCTGAGCTAATTTATACGTATTAAACCAGGACACGATGAAAATAAGTTGGGGAAGTGAATGGAAATAAACAGAAGACTTGGTAGCAGCTCAAAGTGGCAAAAGACCATGGAAAGGCTGTACACTTTCACCCTTCAGCAACTTCAATGGCAAGTCTTAGTCTAAAAATGCCAATGCTATACATGTATATTATATTACATATTAGAGCGTATTAGAGCACTCGCCTCGCAAGTGAGAGACCTGGGTTCGATTCCCAGCAAGGTGAAATGTTTTGCAAAGTTCCTTACTCAACACGCTTCTGTTTACCTAGCAGTAAGTAGGAACCTGGTTGTTAGTTGAGTGGCATATCACATTTCCGGGGGTAGTAATTCCTTCAAAATATAATAAATTGGTCACTTCAATCCACGACTGTTTGTGGGACTCTGCTGTGTGCAATTGGCTGCTGTGTTTCACCCACAAAATATACAATCAATTCATTTTACAGTGTGTTCTGTGAAGCGCTTTGAGACGTCTTGAAGATGTGATATGGCGCTATATCACATGCAAAGATTATTATTATTATTATGTAATTCTGTGTCAGAATACATTTCTCCTCCTCTCCCAACAATCCCCTAAATGGGTAACTTTGCCTACAAATACACATTCACTACACTTTACAGCGAGAAATCCCGTGAAGGGCTTTAAGACATCTCGACGACATCTCGACAACTATTTCAAATGGAAATATTATTATCTATGTTTTTCATGCTTCCCTTCCCCTCAAAAATACCCATCAAAAAATCACTGCAGTATAAACAGAGAAAACAACTGGCTCTGTGTACCTTATGGAGCTGACCTGCTGGTGACAGCACCATTCTTTGGTCTACAAGACCTCAGTTTAACTTCACATCTGAAAGACGTCGCTTCCAATAATGCAGTGCTCCCCTAGTGTGGCACTAGAGTGTCAGCCTGGACTGACCCATGCCTCCCAATCTGGCCGAGAATGTGTTATAATAATAACAATCCTTGCATTTGATATAGTGCCTTATCACGTCTTCTGGACGTCTCAAAGTGCTTCACAGAATATACTGTAAAGTGAATTGACTGCATATTTTGTGGGCGAAATGTGGCAGCCAATTGCACACAGACTTCAGGCCAAGAAGATGCCATCGCTTGTGGTGGAAATGAAGTGGTTTGAAAGTCCAGCCGACATCTAAATCGGGGACTGTATTGCAACAATGTAAATTGCTATATGGCACTTTTAATAGACTTCATCTCCACTAACATTTTAGAAAAAGTGTGAGTGGGGTGGGGGGATTATCAGGAGACAGGGCATGAATTGTACACTGCTAGCCCTGATTTCCTTATTCTGCTCCTTGTCCAGATTTGGATTAATTTAGAAAGATTTACATAGACTACAGCACAGAAACAGGCCACTCAGCCCAATCATTTCATGCTCCGCACAAGTCTTCACCCATTCCTTTACTCGCTCCCATACCCTTCGATTCCCCTCTCCCTCATGTGAAGGTCAGGCTTCCTCTTCAATGCATCTACACCGCTTCTGACAGCAAGTTCCACAATCTCACTATCCTCTGCATAAAGTAGTTTCTCCTAAATTCTCTTTTTGATCCCCTTGTCGTTAAAAGCTGTTTGACCCAGAGTTGCTATCGGTGCCAGGTAAACAGGTAAAACGTTACATAAACTCAAGCAGTCACCTCCTCACTGGCAAGAATTAAAACCTAGGATTGGAAAGTGCGATGCTCCCAGGAAGAGATTGACACCGATGCTGCTTGCTTCATTTAAAGTCTGGTCATGTCACAATTTTAACGCATAATTTTTCAGAAAGTTAAAGTAAAAGGTTTCTCTTTTTATTCTCTTCTGTCATTTCTCTCTCTCTCAAACTGCTTGTGTGGTTCAGTCACTTGGCAGGCTTGTTCAGCGTTGCGCCTGTTTGATTTAGTTACTGGAACATGTGTTTGTAGGTCAAAAGGTTATGGGTTCAAGCCCCACATCAGGACTTGAGCTAATCTATGTTGACAATCCAGTGCAGCATTGAGGGAGTGCTGCATTATTGGAGGTCCTCTGAATAAGATGTTCACGCACTAGTTTGGGGAAGAGCTGGGAACTTTATTGGTGTTTCTCTCACATTTATAATTCCTCAAAACATTTGCCTACAAAATATCTACACTATTGTTTTGGTCAGCCGGGTGTCTGACACATGTGGAAACCCACCGCCATGCTTAAGAGTATCCAAACCAAATACTTTACAGTTCATAGTAATAATAATCCTTGCATTTGACATAGCGCCTGATTACGTCGTCGAGATATCTTAAAGCGCTTTACAGGATATACTGTAAAGTGGACTGACAGTTTTTTTGTGTGGGAGAAACACGACAGTCAGTTGTGCACAGTAATGTCCCACAGACAGCCATGGAGCGAGTGACCGATTTATTTCTGGGATTTGTTGGCCAGGACACCGGGAGAAATTCCCTTCTCTTTTCGAATAGTGCCATGGGATCTTTAACATCCACCTGAACAGGTAGACTGGACCTCAATTTAACACCTCATCCAAAGGATAGCACCTCTAACAATACAACACAGTGTCATCTTAAACTATGTGATTCCTGACATAAGGCTTCAACTCACAATCTTCCTGTGAAGCTTCTGAAGCGCTTTGAGTTATTTTCCCGATGTGAAAGATGCTATATCAAATGGCAAAGATTATTATTAAAACATCTGATCATTCATCTCACTACTGTTTGTGGGATTTCGCTGGCAGAGATTAGCTGGTGTGTTTACTGACATAAATAAAATCACGACATTTCAAAGTTAACTCACAACACAACCACAAGAACAACAACTTGCACTCATATAGCACCCTCCACGCGGGGGAGTACTCAGCACCCACGTGAAGTAATATTGAGATATTTTGAAACAATAAAGTGATATGGATTGCAAGTATTAATATTATTATTATTATGGGGTTGAAAATTGGATATCGGCGACCTCGAATTGCAAACGGTGACTTCTTACGGTAACCACAAGCTCATTACGCTGAACCATGGGAAATCACTTCCGACACCCAAGTGGGGTGGAGTTCCTGGGGAGTTGGAGCAGAGCTCCCACTAGTCAGCGCAGGGAGCTTTCTGTTACTATTGAGGATCACTATTTGCAAGCCAGGTGGTGAACATTATATTTTCAACCCTGTGTCTTTCTTCCTGGGTCGAATCCTACGTTCTCTTCTGTTCTCTTGTGTCATTTACATATAGGAAAACAGACACATCCAATATCGCCTGATTTCTATTTCACGAGCGCTAAAACTTTCCCTTTTGTTTCACACTACCCTCGCCCCTCCAAAGCGAAAAAAGCTTCTGCACCAAACAGAAACTCAACGCTTCGCTTTGCCTAAGCTTAAAACTGCTTCTATCCTTTAAACGTCCTTCAGCCTGCCAGCAAAACACAGCCAGTAATCAGGGACAACTGCCTAAACTGGAGTAATGTCCTGTCTAAACAATCCTCAGTCATTCTCTGTGGCACAATGTAACCCAATACTCCTCAGAGAAGCCTTTCTTGCCGATGAGTTGTATAAACCAACAACCTGACCAGATCCAGCCTTCAAGGGTTAAAAGAGGTACTTCCTGAGGAGCCTCTCCAGCTAGTTAAAATGTTTATAGGCTGTGATACATTTTTTAAACATCTGAC